CTAATAGGATACAATATAATAATCAGAGATTTTAATTATTTTATAAACAAAGCTAATAATAATTATTAAAGATTTTTTTATCTTTAATAATATAAGTCTTTATATAAAATTAGATAAAGATATTTTTAAGAAAATTCAATACAACTTTATTTATTAAATATTTTTACTATACTTTAAAAATGGATATATCAACTTTTTTATAACTTAAATATCAACTTGTTTAAAATAGTTGCAATACCTTTATATAACAAGGTTTTTTTAAATTTATTAAATATTAATAATTTGACTTCACTTGCCATATATCAAGACAACTTTTTTTTTGGACTAAGTGCAATACACGTATAACTTTATTAATCATTTGCAGATTTTACATAGTCATTATATGAACAGTTTATTTAACTGATGCTACCTGCCTATTTTTATCCAAATACCAACTTATATCTCGTGGGTGGATCTATACTTAGGTTTATGCTAAATCTCTTTACTTGTAAATATAGGATAAGGAAAATCCTGTCCAATAGTTGAAAAACCTTTCCAGCAGTCTTCTTTTCAGTTTTTATGACCTAATTCTCTTTGGGAATGGGTCACTGATTCAAATTGCGTTAACATCAAGCAGGGTACTGGAGGTCCGATCAGGTTTCAGAGGCTGCCAAACCAGTTTGGGAAATGTGGCTAATTGGATATGACTTATTCAGGAAGCCATTCAACCTGAATAAGAAGGTTTGTGCTACAAAGTCTGTCAAGCCAGGAGGGTTATAGGCTTTTATCAGAGCTAAACCAGAAGCCTTTCCTTATATAACCTTTTCTACTTTAACTTATTTCAACCTGCGATTATCAAAAAGACCAGAGGTCACATTTTAATGCAGCCTAGCTAAATTTGGTGAGGATCCAGATGTTTGAGTATGACATTTGTAGGAAAATCAGTAAATCCACAAATAAAAAATAGTTTTTTATATGTTTTGTTTCCTGTAAGTATTGAACTAGGAACATACATTTGGAAACCAGAAAGTACTACCCACTGTGCTATTGACTCATTGGTCTTTATATCAAGTCAACTTTAATAAACAAGTATGATAATTCTAATTATGATTTGGAAACTAATCTATATATTTGATTATAATACCTTTATATAATTAATAATCCTTTTTCTTTATTTTTTTTTGTTTTATTTTTTTACATCTAATCAAGCCATATGTTCAAGTTTATTAGTTTCAAACTCTGGAATTAAATAGATCCTAATACAGATATTACAAGATATATAAAATGTCTTTCATATATATATTATCAATAAAACTTTTTAATTCAATATAATATACTTATCAATAGCTAATAAGGCCTCTATATATAATTAAAAAAATGAAAAAGTTGCTTAATTAAAGAAAATATTTCTTGTCTATCTAAAATATTATAGCCAGCTCTTTATTAAAACTATTATTTCAACTTAATCTTTGTGATCTTAAAGTATAAAAATTTTTATTTTTTTAAAAAGGTAAAAGATAAAAATAAAGGGGAAAAAAAAAGTTTGTGCTGGTAAAATAAAAATCTATCTAAACTATTATCAGTCTAATAAGAACCTTCATTGATTTTGAGAAAAAAAAAAACCGGCATAAGAGAGGAAAGAAAAGACTTCAAGCCATTTCTTATCAAGAAAATACTTCAATACCTTGCTTTTCATCATTATTCAATTGCATTATTAGTAGTAGTATAGTACAATATAGAATATATGAGAGTATGTGTTTTGTTTATATTTCTTTTATATATTGATCAATTAGTTCAAGATTTTAGCCAATTATCAATCAGAGTTTCCAGTGTAACAAAAAATTCAAAATCAAACTAAGATAGGCAAAATTCTTCAGAAAAATCAAAAAAAATTTGATATGCTTGAGAATACTACTATAGACATGTATAACTGATGAAGAAAAATCATATACCTGAACAGATATACTCTTATCAACTTATTTACCCATCTTAGACTATAGAAGTTTAATTTATGATGGATCTAGGTTCTTATAGAGCTTGGAAAATATATTCACTGGTAGACTTAACTAGTTTATCTACTTATCTCAGACATCAGATGTTTGTTTACAATAGATTCAAGATTTTTATGGAGCATGGAAAATACATTTACTAGTGATTTACTTTTTGAAGTTCTAGACCTAGAAAGAATATAATGGAAGATGTTTTTTTGACAGATTTCTTCTTCCCAGTAAGATGTTTTTGCCATAAATCAAATGGATAAAGTTTTGTTTATTTTGTTATTGAAATATATAAAGTTTTTAAAAGAAGAAAATATAAACAAGTGAAAGAGGTACCAGCCTTCAAGAACTAAGGTTTTTAAGAAAAGTGTATAGACTTTATTATCAAAAATAAAGAAATATTTTTAAGAATGTTTGTTTTTTTGGATTGGAAAGGGAATTAGCAGAAAGAGTTTTTTTTATAAACAATACTGTATTATAATTTATATATAAATTTTCATATAAAAAATTTATAAAAAATTTTTAATCAATTTTTTTTTTAGTTTAAAAATTAAGTTTTAAAATAAATTTATTAATAAAATATTAAAAAAAAACTTAATATTTTATTTTTTATATTCAAAAAAAATATATATTTAAAGATTTATAGTAAATACATTAATAATTAATTATTTATTTTAAAAAATATTTGCTTAGACAGGGTATATATTATAATAATATTTATTTAAATATTACTAATTTTGTTTTATTATTACAATGCAATAAATATAAATAATAATAAATATTTTTTGGTTTTCTTAATTAAATAAAAAAAAGATTAATCGATGAAATAGAAGATTAAAAAAAACTTTTAGGAAAGTTTTTATAAATTATTGTATATTTTAAAACAATTTTAATAATTATGAATTATACTTTTTTTACCTGAATTATGTTTTTTTTAACTTCGAAATAAATTAGATGTATGAGGTTTTAAAACAAACTAATAAAAATAAAAATATGATTTAAATATGCCTATTATTAAACAAATTATTCTAGAAGCATTTATTTTACCTATATCTTAGTCAATAATTAATAAAGATTGCTTTCATATCGGTGATATGTTTATTTATAAGTTATATCTTAGCCAAGCAAGTAATCACAAATTACCTTGTAAATAATCAGTTTGTCATAATGTTATGAAGGGCTCGTCACTACTAAAACAAATATGCATCCATTTAAATTGTCGTTAATTCACAACCAGATACCTAGAGTAGTGGCCGAAAGTATTGCATCACCCGATGCAAAATTTAAAACAATAATACAGTATATTGCGTGCCAGGGCTACATTATGCCTTATTGTTGATCTTATATCTTTTTTTTATAATATTATACATGCAATGCAGTTTTTTTGATCGATATTAGATATAAATCTTATTGCATAAGTATTCATTTTTTTACGTGCTTCAAAAAAATCACATCACATATAGAAGAGATGACTTTCAGCATGTCCTGTTTTCTTAAAAATTTCAACCTTCTAATGGTTTACTTAACTGTCGAAAAAAGGACTAGGATCTGTGCACTACTCGAAGAGGGATTTCCTTCACGCTATGTAGCAAAGAAAGAAGAAGTTTCTCAGTCAACTGTAATAAGAGTTAAACAATGCAAAGATGTAACTGATACCTTTCAAGATCATCCAAAATCTGACCGCCCGAGAATTCTTACTAGTCGGTATGAGCGAAAAGCATTATGACTAATTATGACAGGAGGATGTACCAATGCAGTTGCTATTCAAAAGCAACTAAAAACCATGGAAAAAATTGATGTCAGCAAAAGCACGATAAAGCGAACCCTACACCAAAATGGATTAAGCTCACAAATTAAGCGTAAAAAGCCCTATCTTAAAAAAAGAAAATCGATCTGACCATTTGAGATTTGCTAAGAAATATCGATCTTAGACAGAAAAGGACTAAAGAAAGGTAATCTGGTCTGATGAGTTTAAATTTATGATTTATGGCTCAGATGATCGTAAATACTGGTGGAAGCAACCTGGGGATGCATTGTGAGACCACCACATTAAATCTACAGTCAAATTCGGGTATTTTTCTTCAAGTGGCGTTGGTAACATCTGTTATGTCTATGGCAACATGGATGATGATTTATATCGATTAATATTTTAAAAGACGAACTCTTAGAAACTATTGGATCATGTAAGTTGAGTAAAAAAAAAAATTTTTTTTAACATAACAATGACCCAAAACATACTGCATATAAAATTAGTGACTTGAGGAAAATGGAATTAGAGTTCTTGATTGACCTGCGCAATCCCCTGACTAGAACCCTATCAAAAATTTATGGAATGAAATAGACTGTCGCTTGAAATGATCTGAAGAGCCAGTTAGGACACTAGATGATTATGGAAAGCGATTCAGGAAATTTGGGTTGAAATGGAAGTTGACGTATGCACGAAACTAATCGCTACTATGCCGACCCGTATCAAAGATGTAATTGATGCTCTTGGGGTTATACAAGGTTGGGTTATAATGATTTATATAGATTTCATTTTATCATTTTTTTTTCGCGTTTATTATTAGAGAAAAAAAAATAAAAAAAAACGGTCTAAAGAAGTGCATCGCCTAGAAAAGAATAAAAATTATTATTATTATTATTATTATTTATATCGTTAACAGGCATTATGTGAGACTTTATTTAAACTTTCGTTTATTGGTCATTACATTAACAATCTTTACATAAGTAAATTAATTATAGCCTATTGCGACAATATAGGGTGACATACTGTATACAGATAAAAAAATTTTTTTTTATTATTGCACGAATTAATTTATATATTAAAATAGACCCAATCCAATGAGTTTAATAAATAATTTTCATGACGCGCTATAGCTTCTGTGTCATGAGAATATTAATGATCTAATTTTTATAATCCGGTGATGCAATACTTTCGGCCGCCACTGTATGATATAAAGGGTCTTGTTGGTGTTTAATTCAAATTTTTTAAGTTTGACAAAAATTTTTTCAACTGTTAATAGCATGGATGAAAAACAAAAAGAAGGAGCCAAACAGGCCGTAGGTTATACAGAAGCAGCAGCCACTACAGTTGCTCCAATCACTGGAGCAGTAGGAACAGCAGCAGGAACAATTGGTGGAGCTGTTATGAAAGGTGTAGGAAAAATGACTGGTGATAAAGCCAAACAAGATACTGGCGAAGTTTGCAAAGAAGCCCCTCTACAACCAGTAAAAGAAGCGAGAAAACAAGCAAAAGAAATTCTTGAATAATAGAAAAGGGCTACGAAGTTTTTTTTTAACGTGAGTATAAGGTACTTCGATTATACCTGTTTCTCTTACGAACACGATATAACGGAGAAAGTACTAAAGAAATGTCAATCGTGTGTTTTTGGCAGGCAAGATGTTGATATATAACAATGCAGACGTGTTTGATTCTTTTCGCTCAAACATAAATAAAAGATGAGACCTCCAAAAGCTCTCTATATGTATAATTAAAAATAAAATATAACATTTTGTTGCTTTCGAAAATGATTATCCACATGCGTTTTAAGTGTGTTTTTGGACTGAGACTGTAGTTGAATATTATTCCTACATAGAAAGAAAAAATGACAAAGACAAGATTGTTTTATGCGATAGACATCGATGAATTCTCATTCGGGCATCAAAATTATCAGGTAAAAAACTTTGGTGCATACAATTATACGTAATTGTAAATTTTAGGACTACAATTATAGTGCCCGAAAAATCCCTGCCTGCCTTCGAAAGTAATTATCTAAGTATGTAGAGGATGATATAACTTTTTATATACTGTACATTAAACTTGTTTTTACAAATGAAATAACTTACATTTCTACCTATCGTAACTTAAGATATATTAAATATGAAACTGATTATGGAATAATCACATTGATTCAAACAGAGACGAGACGCAAATTGAAAAATTAGCCAAATACTGTACTGCGTGTGCTTGCGATCAGCATTAAATAAAATTGTAACTTTGTGAACCTTTTGTGCAACAAATGCAGACTACAGTATAAATATTTAGGTTATACCGTATAAGTTACACATTTGCAATTCAAATG